GCAGGGAGATCCCGAAGGCGGAACGGGCGCGAAGGAAACGGCTGCCGGTGGTCGAGACAAGGGAAACGCTACGAGCATGGAGACACAGGCTGGGGCCAGGAGGGTGATGTTTGCCGCGGATGGCCCTCCCGGACCCACTGAGGAGGCCGGCGACGTTCCAGACCAAGCGCCCAGCTTGCGGCGGAAGGTGCCCGCCGTGCGTAGGGGCAGCCATTCAGCCGGGATGGTAATACCCGCCGATGGTGGGGTTGCGCCCACAGGGACGGCTGGCAGGGCGAACAGGCGCCGTCGGTCGCTCGCGGCGCCCGGAAGGGCCCTCGAAAGCGGCCCTCCCCAGAGCTCCCCCGCGGAGGCAGCTGTCCGATTCGGCCCTCCCGTGGGCGATCCGATGCAAGAATACACCCTGCAGACGCAAAGGAGCGTTGACAAGCAGGACAACAAGTGGCTGCACATCCAGGTATTGGGGATCGCGATGGCGTGGTGGCCGCCTGCAAGGTCGTCACTGGAGAGCTGTTTTGTCAGCGGAGGGAAGGGCCGGTGCCCCGTCCCGTCGTACAGCAGCTGGCTGTTGTCGCATCAACATGCCGCAATGTAGTCGCAGCTCCTCGACATCGCAGGTTGCAGTACAGTTATGGCACATTAAGGACCAACGGGTTTGGCCGAGGGGTCACAGAGCATAATCGGGGTGCCTCATATTTTTGCCGTGAGTCTCCGCAGCTGCCCTGCCAACTCACACAAGAGTAAGTTCCACTGCTGGTGTCGAGAATCTCCGCGCTGGTGCAGGGATGTAAACATGTGCAGGGTTAATGAACAATAGTGCTTCCACAACAGGTACACTTTATGGCCATGTTCTCCAGAAACCTGAGGCGCAGGGTGCACGATGAAGCACTTCTCCGAGCGCAAGTGGAGAAAGAAAAGCATCTGATGGAGACTGCGTACCTGACGCAAATTAAAGCCCAATACACAGAATGTGATCGCCTGCTGAAATTATCGGCAGAATGGAACATGGAAGTCGTATCGCTTGCCAGAGACCTCCTCGCTGACATGGCATCGGCGCTTGCAGACATAGACGCAGGAATGTCCGCCCTTTGCCAGCAGTCTATCTTCGTAGCGCAGCGGCTGAGGACCTGGAATAGAAAATTTGAGTCGAGAAATGACAAGGTATGGGAGCCCTAAATCAAGATAGAGGTTACTTACCAACTCAAAGAGATAGATACCAGACACGATCTGATGCACAGTATCCTGAGGACAAATCCTCGCCCCCTGTGGGCAGTTGGCAAATGGTGGTACGCTACCGGCTCGCAGAATCATGTGGAACATAGACTGCGTGCTGCGAACATACTGCGCAACGTAAGGCAATATGTTTTAATCTGCCCGTGGGAAATTCAATTCCGCATTTACAACTGAAATTCTATCTTTACCGCGCACCGATGTTGTGGTCGCTGGCCAATTGTATGGCATTCTCAGCTTGCTCAGTGCTGGAGCGAAGCTGTGAGCGTGGTTTGGTGCCGCCAGGAAGGTGGTACAGAGCACGGATGCCACTACGTACGGCTGGGCATCTTTTGTTCGGAACTTGCCAAAAGATGCGCCGGAGAAGCCTTTGTCGCCCCAGTCTTGTATAGAGACTATCGTCAAGGTGTATTGCCGGCGGCTGGCTCACCTCCACAAGGTCGGATCAACGGATGCCAGATTGGAAAATGTGTTTGATGCAATTGTCGCCCATTACACCGCCCAGAGGTATGCTCAGATGCACCGGAAATCGGCTGAGAACTGCATCCTCGAGGGACAATAAATTATAGGAAAACACATCATTCTTGGGCGTCCTAGGTCCGCATGCTGCAGTTGGGTTAATGGCGGAATTGGGTGCGGATTGTGGATCAACTTTCTGACTGTGCTTTATCAGCAGGCGGTCCCGATGCAGGGGTTTGCTTTGCTATTTTGCTACTTACATTCTCCGCGATGCCGCACTTGCTTCACAGTGCATGTTTCTTTCCCCACAAGGCTCCAGGACGGTTTTTTATGTATCGGCAGAACTTTGCGATTCAAGCAGCATATTTCAAAAGATAATCAACACCGCTTTCTTGCCTAAAATCGCCATGGGGGGGTGTACCCAGGAAGATGCCCGCGCTGAGCGAGGGACTCCTGTCAAACTGCGGCCCGATTGGGAGGCTATTGATGAGCTGCCGTAACCATGAAGACAATCCCAAAATAAGGATGTTTGCCGATTTTTCTGGACTGCACCACCAGGACTTCCTCACTTCGGACTCCTGGCATTTCTTCCTGAGCGTTTTGGACTGCCTGAGACACCTGATGTTGGTGAATTGGAAAAATCTGATGCGCTCATGGGCATCGCCCAGTGGCGCCAGTGTGCCAATGCCGTGCGTGATGGACCTTCTCGGAAACTTGTACAACTCTTCGCATCCGGCCACTTTAGATGTCTTCCGCAGGAGAATGTCCAGCATCATCAAGGACAGCCAGGCTGGTCCATGTGTGGACCTCGATGCGCTTCTGCTTCTACTGGTGAACGAGTTCAATCACGGTAGGTTGGTTGCATTTGCGGCTGTCGTTGCTATTGTTTTGGGCCGCGAAGCGCGATTGTGGCTTGGTACCAGTTGGGGCTGACGCCGATACTTTCGCAGAGGTGGCAGTGCGAGAGTCTTTCAATTGTGTTCATAAATGCAATGTAGCAATAAACGTGCCTTTCAATGAATCCAATGGCTCATGGCTGGTCTGCGGCATTTGGTCGTGCGCAGATGAATGCCCCAAAGATCCACTGAAACACCCGAGGCGATGCACGGATGGGAGCCTTTCCAATTTGCACAACCTCGCATCCAGCCCCGGCACATCTCCGATGCAATCTCCTCATCACAAGCCTCATCCCGCACAGGCCTCGTAGACCCTGTGGAGCCTAAATTCGTGGGGGTCGACAATTTAGAGTGTGGTGGCTTCCAACCTTTTCGTGGGGCTCAGGGCACTTGCCGTTGACAGGCCACGTTCAAGGGAAGCGAAAATCCACCGGCTCTAAATGGAGGCCCATTTAGATGATTCCAGGTCTTTGTGCAACTTTTTGGACCTGGCGGAGCGCCCTTCAATGTAGATCCATGCTTGTTCCAACACATGAATCGCTGAGGGGGCGCAATTCACTGGTGTTACCACGGTTTACATCAACTCTCATCTAATCTCCCATCTCTTCCATCTCTTTGTCTGGCTTTTCGTGGCGGCGCTGGTTCGCTGGCAAATGACTTTAGAGATTTTGAGAGCTGCCAAACGATAGAATCACGCCAGCACATGTGGGATATTTGAGGATTGACTCAAGCGAAATGCGCCATTCGCAATGTCCTTATTGTGTTACGTTGTTCTGCCGCAGCAGAACAAGGTCAAGCAGGTCAGCGAGGCAAACCTGCATGTGCACTGCCCTCAAGCATAATCTCTCCGATGTATGGACGCACCGCAGTAATACAGCGGCTGCGGCTCGTTGTGCCGTATTTCGATGTTGTTCCAGATAGCATGCGATGCAACAAAAGGGTAAAAATAATATTTTCTGAACGTCCACCGCTCCAGGAAACTGTTCATGAAAATACCCGAAACAAAAAACAGGCTTAGCTACTTTTGCAGTTGTTGTTCTTCGTCGACTGGTGTGTAGGATTATGAGAGAATTAGCTGGGAGATTGTGCATGTGCACAGGCAGCAGCGCACACAGCATGTGCTTCCAGTAGTACTGGAGGCACTGCCTCCATTGCATGGATGCATGCACTGGAGAAACCAAGAGCATCTTACCTGCCCCGCAGCAAACGCCACCACAACAAATTGCAGACTGCCTTAATTTGTATGCCTAAATTCAGGCAATGAGAGCAATAAATCGCTCTGATCGCGGGACATGCTATTGCCATCAAAGGTGGTGGTGTTTGCTTCAGTACAACGCAGCGCTCCCTTGTCCTCCCCTTCAATATCGGCCTCACAGAGCTGTATTGTGCAGTGCACAGTGCGCACAGACCCTCGCTGCTATCAGCGCGAGCAGCGGTGCTGGTCGGAAAATAGGTGCTGGCGGTATCTTGAGTCGCTGGCTGAGGCTTCCAGCGCGCGGTCCTGTTCTTGGTGTTGCTCTCGTTTCCCGCACTTGCTGGTGTTGGCAACGTTGACAACACGTTAACATGAGATTGCTAGCCAATGCCTGTGGTAGCAACTGCAACGTGGAAAGAAAATTGCTGGATCACTGGCAAACATTGAACAGCAAGGTTATTATGTCATTGTGTGCGAGGTGTGCATAGTTAGACCCTGCTCTTGTAGACATATTGCGCCTTCGGACCTTCGTCTTTGCGATGGGCAACTACAACAACCAAACCAGACTGAGCAAACTGACACTGGGGCAAGGGAAAACAAGTCATTGAAAGAAGTGCATGTCTACAAGGTGTGCATAGTTCAGTCCTGTCGTAGTCTGGAGCCGACCTAGGGCTCCTAGAATCTTTGCGGTCTTTGATGCGCACCGCCTACCGAACGCCGACAATTCAGTATGACTCGGTGCCATCACTGCTGTCTCATGGGTCAGACATACAAACTTGCATAGTTTTGATGAAAGGGCGTGCATTAACTTGCACTTCCACCTGTGCTTGCATTTCCATCCTTGGCCAACATTGACCCAGAACCAGCAGTGCCGCCTTGTACTCAGCTGCAGCCTTTATATGACCGGCGTGCAATCCAAGCCTTGCACGGCGCCAGGAGCCCGAGTCAGGGGTTTTGAACGCCGATGTGCGGCCATCTGTGGCACCCCGCGGACGTGTGCCGTATTGGGGTTCATTTCCGGCCATTAGACCCATTCCAACTCATCTTCACTGGCGCCGGCTGCCTTGCTCCCCTTCCCCCCTCCCTCGTAGGATCTGGCCAGATCTGGGAATGGCGGGCCACCCGGGCATATGCCCTTTTCCACGGGCGCCTGATTTCCCTGTCCCGTTGTCACCCTGCGTTGCCTCCCCAGCGCCGATCCCCACGCCGACCTGCGCGCGATGGCGACCACCATGAGCCTGAAGACCCCCGTGGGGCTCCGATCCAGCAGTGCCCTGGCGTCACGCGTGAACGCCCGCGTGTCCGGCGTGCGCGCCTGCCCCAGGGCCACGCGGCAGGTCACCCGCGCCTTCAGCACCCAGCTGATCATGAGCGCCTCCACCTTCACGTGCCTGGCGCTGGGCCGCTGGGGCTTCCTGGACTTTCAGAGGAAGTCGGTGGAGAAGGCCGGCCTGCCGGTGCAGAACGGCGTGTCGCATGCGGACGCGGGCGACGGCCTGGCCCAGGAGGCCAGCTTCCTGCTGGCCACCAACGACCCTAAGGGCTTCAACGTGGTGGACGTGCTGATGTGGGGATCGGTGGGCCACATCCTGGGCTTCATCATCCTGGCGACGAACGCCAGCCTCAGGGTTGGTTAGATCGGGCTGTAGGGACGGACTGGGGCTCGCGGGTGTAGTGTATTAATCTTGGTTACCTGCTGTGGGGTGTGTAGAAAATTTGAGGCAATGGGTGTGGTCAAGGATCGTTGAGCTGCGGGTGCCCCAGAACAGCCGCTGAGAGATCACCTATTCTCTGTACCCAAGCTTTTGTGTATTTCCCAAGGTGTCTTTGTTGATAATTCTGCCCTTTGATGGGAAGGCCCACAATCGCATGCAAGTGATCCAGGTTGCCCGATATGGATTGCTACCAGAACTCCTGCCTGGACCCCGCCAATTGCAGGTGATGTGGACCCTGCGGATCTCTTTTGAGTGGGGCATACTTTGTGGTCATGGTGCCTTTGTCAGGTGATCACAAACTGCAGACATTGGCTGGAAAATTGGCCAGAAATACCAGTTCCCCCCACGCTGTTTTGGCTGCACATGTGGCATCCTATATCTACCAAACACGCATTTTCGTTGACAGGGGTGTGTGCGGCAGCTGTGTTGCTTTGCATAGAACCCTTGGCTGCCAAGGCACAACAGAAGGGGGAGGCAGTGTTGAACACTGGGATGGTACTGTCCACCAGGATGGGATGAGAACTTGCACTTCTGGTATGCAATGGTGGACACACAAAATTGAGTAGCTGAATGCAGTGACATACAGTTCGTTGAAGAGAAGAGAGGGCACTTGCATTGTTCCGTTGCCACCAGGGGGTCTGCAGCAGTTCCCTGAAGGATGCAGAAACCTAACCCCCAGACACGGGCACAATGATCATTGAGGTGTGTAGGTCAGCATGAGTGCTTGTAGCTGAGCTTTCGACATCCAGCAGCCTGTCACGAATGCCGGGTTGCTGCATTGCATGATATCACACACCTCGGTTCACTGCATGCACGACCAGCACCTGCATATGCAACTGGGCACAATTCACCCATCAAGATGCTCTTATCTGGCTGGTCCCAGCCAAAGGTGCTCCAATCAGCTGCCTTTTGTGTTACAGCACGCCAATCCAAGAAACTAGAATTCCCAAAGCCTTGCGTCACTTGCGCAGGCATGAGCTGTGGACCCACGAGTACAAGCATCCCTCCAATATCTCGGCAAACACAACCTGAAACTCTATTGTAATATGGTACATGGCTACCCGAGACTCACCGGCATGATAGTTTCGATTCTACGCTTGCTGTCGTCAGCCGTACCCAAACTTATCTCAGTTGATGGCCTAACCCTAGGATGAGTTGCCGCTACCCTGCGCTCAAGCCCATGGCCATCCCATTGTACACCCATTGTCAAAACTCATCTATCAAAACGTAGAGATGCATGACGGCACGGTCGCTCACACCCACGTTGCGCACCCGATCCTACTGCGCCCCCTCCCCATGGCGAACCCCCTCCCCCGCTGGCGTCCACACAAGGGCTGTTGATAACGTCAACTCCCTGTCTCGGTGCTGTCGTCCCAGATGTCAAAATTGCCCCCAAGCCTCTCCCTGCTGTCCCGCATACCCCGCCCAGGCCTTGGACCACTACTTCCATTCTCTGCATTGGAGAGAGCAGGCTGCATGTTCTGCACGCGTGCTGCCAAATGTTGGTACGCCGTGGACTCCATTCCAGAACGAAGCCTGGCACCTTTGCTGGGTGCCAACGGTGATTGCCACATCATCTCTGAGATCCGCCGGATTCTCCTGGCAGCCTCTGAGGAGGTGTGCGGTGAAAGGAAAGGTGACGCCAGGTCGACCTCGCGTCGCATTGCGATTGTGTAGTTTTTCCACACGCGGAATAACTCCTGCGAAGTAGTTGCTCTGTTGTCGCTGTGACGCTGTGCGACAGTGTGGATTCCACACTCGACTGGTACCCATACAGCGACGTGCACAGTTTTGCACTGGGCTAGATGCACGTCTCGACCACATCTTTCCCAGTACATCTTTGACTCTCATTCAAAAGTGCCTCCTTTTCGAGGGATGTGGGGTGGGAAAGTACGCACGGTTAGGGTAGCACCAAGGCTACTTTGCTCAAGGTCATGTAACGCACAACTCCGAACTCTATCCAGTAATGAGTGGCGCTCCTTGACGCCAATCTTTATGCGATGCCACCTCATATTCCGCGCTTGGATGGGGAAAGATTAGAGCGCTGAACTTGCGCCGCGTCATCAATGAATCTCGCCGGTAGTCAGAGGTGCTGACCAAGGTGAACGTACGACAACATTCGATAGCATGACTGGATCGCATTGTAACGCAACTGCACTGTCCATGATGATGCCAGAGTACGAATTACCGCCTTTTCACTGGAATAGCCGACTGAAAATCGAACGCTGGAGAAAAGTTTTGGACACATCAGGAGCTGTTTCGGCTTTCTTTGTAGCTTTGTTATATTTGAGGCAGCTATGTAATGTAGTATTTTAGCGTCACAGTTCTGGACTCATTCCCCTTAAGAGTAAATTTGTCGTCAAGTGGCACAAATAGCCCTATTGTTACCTTTCAACGTGGACAAGACCACCAAAAAGGAATGTACATGAAGCGTGGAGCGGCTACGCATGTTTCGCAAATCTGTACCCATCAATTCTGCACGCCGGCCTTCCGCCACCCCTAGCAGTGGCAGACACAGGCCTCATGGGGGAGCGACCCCATGCGTTACGCACCTGCTTTCTGTCATGATTGTGCTGGTGACGCAGAACGCTTGCACTCCTTTCCAGCCACCTTCGTTTCTCCACTGCTTCCTTCCAACTCTGCCACAGGCTACGCATTGTCCACCTCTCCTTTTCTTCAGCCACAGCACTCAATTTTGCTGTAAACACGGCCCTTCTCTTCCTTCGGTCAGTTGTACGCCAGTGCCACAGCCGCAGCGCCACCATGGTCAAACGCTGGACATAAAAAGCGCGAGCATCGGATTCCTTCTCTCTGCTCTGCACATTTGAGTGCTCTATCGTGCGCTGCCAGTGATGAACGGCCCGGGCCAAAAGGGCGTGGTTGTAGTGACGGACAGCCCTGTCTTCAAATTCATTCTGCCGACCCACACCACCGTGCATCGCATTAGCCGCTAGGGAAAGATAGTACCGAGGCCTCAATTGTTGTTGGCGCTTTTTGTCGCACCGACGCTTGAAGCCGACCTTGCCGACTCTAGCTTTCTCGATTTCCAGAAGTCGATCATGTGCCAATCAACCGCTAGTATTCGGTGTTGACTGCAGCACTGCATTTGCACATAGTGGATTGGGTCCCTGTGCTCATACCTTCATCGCTCTTCGCTGTGCATACTCGTGCCAAGCCCGCCAGGTCAGAATTTTATTCCTTCGTTGCCTTTCCATGATAAAATCCTCGAGGTTCCTCATGATGTCAACGTACCGGCGCCATTCCATGAATGCCCAGATGAACATTTCCCTCTGGCGCCGCCGAGCCACCACGCTGCCAGTTCTGACCGCTTGCAGCAGGGCCTGCTGTTTCCGGGCAAATATGATTACCTTCATTCTTGTGTGCTCTGTCTCCCTCCTCCAGGACTTGAAGACCCTGGACAGTAAGCCCACGGCAATGGCGACCGTCGCTTGGTATGCGGCTTCCCGAATCCTACGTTTGCGAGACACGAAGAGTTGCCACGAAGAGAGGCCCCGGGTCAAGAAAAGACGTCTTTTGAATTTCAGAGCCTGCAGCACCGAACGAATTCCGGGATAAGTCCTCGTGTGACAATGGCAGGGAGGTGTCAATGCTCCCGCAGCTGCGGCAGAGCAAATGTTCTCAGTGACAGCGCGAAGTGAACCACATCATTGGCCGGTTGAGCTGTCTGTGGTTGGCACAGATATTGAAGAGAGCTGGATGTGAATGACGGAGTGCAAACGCAGGTGGGAACCACTGGGCGAAGAAATGGCACCAATTCCACAACATTACCGCGCACGTGAGCCGCCAACGAGATAGTATGCCTATTGCTCTCCTCTGAGCAGCACGGGACTTCCAAATTGCAGATGCCAGTCGCAAATGGCGTGCCGCCGAAGCCATTGCCCGCCACTCCCTTGTGACTTTCAGCCCAATGGATCTACACCATGTTGCGGTGGCCAGTCTGGACCATCGGTTCAACTCCTGCCTGGCCTCAGTGACCAGCCGCCAGCCGGCGATCACCCTGAAAGTGGCAAACCCGACATTCTTGGAATCAGATATCTGGCGATGCGAATGCAGATGACAACGTGACATGCTTTTCTTCAAATGCGCGCATTACCGCGCGGTATGGGCATGAGGGTACCGACCGTGTCTGTGCGCAGTGCTGTACGTTGACATGTGATAGTGATTATATACCAGGGTAATAATGGGTGTTTGTCAGACGCTCCTGACTAACCCAGCGTGTTGTGCAAAGCCCCCCCCCCCCTCCCCCCGGTGACGTCATGGTGGAGTTGCGGCAGCTGCCAATGGACTGCTGCGGCTGTAGGAAGCGCACTGCGAGGGATCATACTTTTTGCAGGTGACGTGGTAATGCATTGATGAAGCCCGGGCCCATCTGGCCATGTCCATGCTGTCCTTCCACGTGGAGAGGGCCCTTGACAATCTGCAGCCAGCAGCGAAGAGCGCAGCCCTCCGTTTGACAAGCTGGCGATGCCTAAACAACTTCCAGGCTGCAAAAGCGCGCGATGCCCACCGGAGCGACAGCTTTTGCAGTGAGAACAGGAGTGCGCCCTGTGTTGCAAACACAGCATGGTGTTCACGACTCAGCCCTAGTGCATTTCAGCAGAGCGGGCATCGCGAAATTTGCCAGAGCGGAACATCAAAACTGGATTCGATTGGGTAGCTCTGAGTGCGTGCGATTTCGTACAGATATCCATTGTGTTCATGTCATTGTGAGCGCCGCAATATTTGCTCTTTGCGAATCATCATCGATCAACAAATACAGTTTCACGGCATAGAAGGTAGATCGAGCCAATGCACAGAAAGATTTGTTGCCGTGGTCCGCTAGGGCACGTCATCGTTCAACAGTAACCACGCTCTGCCGGCTGCTGCCAAGGCAATCACAGAGAAGCTTCACGTGCATGAATGCTATATCCTTGGACTGCATAGCGTTTCCCCGACTGGGTTACTGCTCCGTTACGGAAGAACCAACGATGTCGCAATTGTAACAGGGTTCAAAGGCCTTGGACCATTATTATGCAGATAATTGTTGCAAATTTTGACAAGGCCCGCTCGCCAGGGGCTAGCAGATATTGACTGTAGCAGTCCTGACTTCACATATGACGAAAACCCAGGGTTTTCAGGAGGGATGCCGTTCGCTTTCTCACCTTCACATATGTGAGGCGACTAGCAGCTTGGTGCCAGGCTTGAAAGTGGCTTTTCAACATCCCTTTCAACACCACTTTGACAATGTGGGAAGTCAAGATCTTCGACTTCCTTGCCATTGAAGCCTCTATGCGCCAACCACTGAATGCCGCCAGGACGACACGGCGAGCAACACGGCAACCAAATTCCCACAACAGTTGTCGCATGGCAGATTTTTCTGAAGCGTACTGCCGCCAGTGGCCCAGTGCGACATATGTTCGCCTACACGAAGCAAAGCAATGGGCAACACCCAGTGAGCTGCTGACGGGACAGACAAGTGCGGAAATGATGCTGCATAGCGCTGGAAGAGATGTTAGCGTATTCAAAGCCAAGCCCGGCCAGCCGGCAAGCAAATAGTCATCACATTTCCGGCAAGGTAGGGTCACCATCAACCTCACAACGCACACTAGGAAACTGGAAGCAAAAACTGTGAAGGATTCCGTCATTTGGTGAGTACCTGAGATTGGCATAGCTCAACGCCTTTGCGCTGAGCCGCCTTGTTGACGACTTTGCGTGTGCAGCTTCCCTCCACCCACGCAGGGTTTTGGCGACAATGCGGCTTCGCAACAGCAACACACCGACCTGCCAAGCTAGGGAAGGGTCAGTACGATCCGTATTGATCACCAAGCACCATTGGGTTGTGTAGAATCGCTGCACACTGATAGCAAACAGATTCACGGAGACAAGTGTGCCGCTACATCCCGTTAGGCACGACTTTATGAAAGGAGAAATGGTGCGCACGGAAACGACCCAGGGCCAGCCTTCATGCCTTGCCTCATCTTTGACTTCCACTCAGCGCCGACCAGCTGGCACCGGTTCCAGACACTTCAGACACTTCTGAGCATCAGCTCACCTGCAAGCGGTCCAGCAGGTACTTGTTGATGGCGGCCGTATCCTTCCACACACCAAAAGCCTCCATCAAGTAGGCGCCACTCCTCCTCTCCTCCATAATAGCCACAGTCTGCCTGCACCAGCTGCGCCTTGCGACTGTTGACCTCCAGCCGCACAGTACCTAGCATAAACATGCATATATCTGTCGATCACGCCAATTCATTCCACGGTCTGTCGCTGCGGTTGTTCAGAATGTTTTGATTGATTGTGCGCGATCAAGCGCAACCTGCACCTGAGGCTGGTAGCTGAGGCCCTGATTCCTGAATGCACTGAAAGCAAAGAATGTGCCCAACCGCCCGATCTTGTCACCACAATTCGCATGCAAGGCGAGTGCCTCGCGGCCATGTGCGATTCAACGGGCTTGAGCAACAACGCGAGGAATAACAACGCGAAAAAGGCAAGTAAAGTACTCGCATGGGGCGACTGGTGGAGAGATTATTGGGCTTTGCAGCCAGCACACCAAGATGCGACGAATTGCAGATCTCAGGGCATTGGTTGCCCAGCAAGAATAGGCATTAGAAGTTGTTGGCATGTTGCTCACCTTCGCCGCCATTTGCCTGGAGGCGTGCTGCGTTGCGATAATTTCCCCGCTGTCGAGCCACTGTCGCCACCACATCAAATCTTGCCATTGGCAGAAGGCGTCCCTCTGTCGACGAGCCAGCACCTGACAGTGCCGACGGGAATGGTATGTCAATGACAGCAACGTGCGGCGACAGCGCCCCAGCGTCTTTGCAATGCAGTTGCTGCAGCTGCCGTTGGCAGGTGTGATCATCGCATGAGGCACGTTGCTACTTCACTCAGGATACCCTGAACAATTGTAAATTGAGTAATTTGAAGAATTTCTGCCCCAGTTTTCCTGTCATTATGGCGGCTGACACATGAGCATTGCCACACAAGTCGAATGCGAAAAGCCATTATTTCATTGGTTCGGGATCAAGTCGATCTTTCCAGCAGTGTGCTCGTACGAGTACGCACTTGTAGAACGAGGGTCTCTGCATCTTGGCAAAGCTTTCTTCTGTACAACGTGTGCCTATGCCAGGAGTCAAAGAGTAGACATAGACGGAAAGCTGACATTGCCTTTGAGGCCCTCCAGATTTCGTGGCGTTTCTCCTGCTTGTGAACCGTGTAGGCACGCCAAGCACCCATTGCCCTCCGAACCAGGCCACCGGCGTATTTCACAAGACCCTTCTCTTCAATGATGCGCAGCGCCTTGCTCGCCTAGGAACAGCACAGTGCAACCAACGCAAGGATTTCAAAGGAGCAAGTGTTATGTACGTTTGCCCGAACGGAATGCCCTGCCCAACGCAATGCAGAAAAGGAGTTTTGATGTTGCTCAATCAAACAGAGGCTCGAAGCGAGCGTTGCACTCGGCGCTCACCATTGCCGCGACACTCCAGTACGAGAGCGCTTCCCTGGCAACTCTATGTGCCCAGAATGCTTCAGCATGCCTTATCTGCCATCGCCTCATGACAGCCACTTTGAACGCCTCATATGACTTCTCAGCCAGCACCAGGTATAGGTGCCGAAAGGCCAGACCAGACAGCCTCCTGTTTTCCGCCTGCATCGCACGGAGTTTCGGATCAGCCTAGCTACTGGAGTTCGTTTCGCAGAAGCACCCATGTCAGGAGGGCGTGTCTTCACACAGACTTAAATTCCTGTGCCAAGAAACACGTTGACAGCCAGATCACTGTTTAATGCACGACTGGTGGATTGACGATTGCCAATATACCACAGCGAACAACCGGCCAACTGCGTGTCATCTAAGCGTGGAGCCCACAAACCGGGGCAACAAGGAAACCTGCAATTTCGATGCACGACGCATGGGAGCGAACACCCGAGACCCGCAGAGTTGCTTTCCCATATTTTTGTCATGCTAGTGGTAAGAAGCAACCGCATACCACATTAATTGTAGGAAATTACAGTGCACGGCATTGCCAGCACCTGTGTGGCGGCAACTGCGGTCCAGTGGTCGAAAGCGATCGCCATTCCGAGATTCTGCCACCTGAGTATCACTTTTTGCATGCTGCCCGAAGTTCTCCCTTGCAGGGTGGTGAGCTTGGATTTCATTTCTGACACCTGCAGATTTTCCAGCCTGGACTCTGTGGCAGCATCCCTGCTTGCAGCGCAACAGCAAGGGAACCCCTCAACCATCAATAGATTAAAGCAAGTCGGTGCGGTCTCCATGAAAATAACCTGACTTACGCATACAGTATATCAGATAATCGGAGCATGCCAAGTGTGCGGTAAGCTGCAAAAGGTATGTCTTCACATCCGATACCACATACGAAAACATCCTTTCCGACGAATTTGCAGGCGCTACAATGTGTCACTTAAAGAAACAGCAGCGATTCATGACAGTTTGTTTTGGAGGTATCACCACGAAAATCTCAGTACTGCACCTCACCTCCAACCAAGAAACGCGCCAGCCAGCAATCCGTTCATAACCCGCTGCAGGAATGTTCTAACCTGCGCCATCGTTTCGGAGTGCTCTTTCCATTTGTTGAAGGTGCTTGAGAGTCCCCTCATTGTTATCCGTATCAGGAGCGAACGGGAAAGCCGAATTAACGATACTTCGTGCCTCCAGCCCTGCAAGGAGGACGTGGAAATTTGTGTGAAGCATGCAACGAAGGAGACAGAAGTCCACAAAGAAGACTGACAAATGGCTTTGCTTCCCTCCACCGACAGAGCTCCAGCACATACCATGGCCTTTGGGGCTGCCTTAACCCCCAGCAATGCAGGAAAGTGCTCGTCCTGCATGCCGAATAAGAACTACTGTACGTGCGACTGGCACAAATTCCCCAAGAACTGTACGCTGGGACTTGCAAGCTTGGATTCGGAATTTGGTGCAGACTATTGCCAGACGCCATACGGAGCTGGTCTGAATCGCTCTGCCGCAATTGTGACCCACTTGAGACAGCGCCTTCCAAGAGTCAATGGCTTAGAATCGAGTACTTGAATGCAGAGGGACAGAGAAAATGCACAGGATATTCGATGCCCGAATACTGCGAAAAGGTGTTTTAGCACATCATTGGTGCATGAAGCACGGACACAATCTCATCTTGTTGTCACAACTGCCAGACGGAAAGCAGCGAAGATAAAACTTAGCCACAACTATCATGACACACAATGTACCCACTTTTTGCACATCATGTGATGCACCACAGCAATGCCAAGACATGCGCACATTCTCCACTGTCGGAGTGACATATGCAAAGGCCGGCGCACAAGAGCAGAAATTACCCAAATGGCGTCCTCCATCAGCATTGAGCACTTTATCGCTACTATTCTCTTGAAACTTTCATCAGCGCAAAGGCGGCAAGCTTGAAGTTTGTCCACAACGTACTTCCATGACCACAGGGAAGTTCCCAGAACCCTGAATAGAGAAAATCCATTTAGAATGGAGGCAGCAGCATTGACGTAGACTGGCTGGAATTATGACACTGTGTTTAAGTTCCTTAGTATCATAGTCTCAAAACTAGCGCTAGAGATACTTTTGCCTCATGAACGACGACATGGCCTCAGTCTGTGCCTATTCCGCAAAAAGATGCTTTACCCCAGCATTAGCGAACCGCTCTTCATCACAACGGTCGGAGCTTGAGCCCATGGATGTTGCGGTTCGTGCTGACAAATGCCATGCACCCGCAGACACTACTGCCCCCGCATTGTGAATGCCGTGCAGGTGCCGATTGTATAAAGCGTGCAAATGGCAATGAAGCTAAGGATTGAGCGTGGCGAACCGGAAACATCCGCCTCATCCGTCGCACTGAGTTTTCAACGAAATCGAGAGACGACTCAAATACGAAATTCAGTCGAAAGAAAGAAGCACCAGGACAACAATTGTCTATCGTTCACAATGTTATAGCATGACAAACATATGAGATGCTGGAAGAGTGCACTCGCAGTTTTCGTAGAGTCCTTGAAACGCGTCGCACGTCAAGCGTATACACCCAAGCATGGATTTCTGCCGTTGTGGACGTTCCTGTCAACCAGCAGAATCCACAACAGAACTGCGATAGTCAGCACCGGCTGCCATTGTGTCCATGATTGCGCAATGTCTCATTGTTCACCTTCTCTGGCGCCTTCTTTGGACAGTGGCACCAGCTGCAGCGAGTTTGGCTGAATAGCGCAAGCTGCACCACGCGCTGCGCAGCAGCGACCATCTGTACTGCTGCTCGGCAATTCTCTTACATTTTGCGTGGTGGAGCCACGCTAGCCAGACGTTGAAAGATGTCTGGAGGCCGTGGAGATTTCGACGGCCGGACATAACCTCCACAACCTGCGAAGACCCAAAAATGCTGAAGACGATCCTAAAATGTGCGGAAGAGGACTCACAGCTGTAAACTCCTCGGTTAGGAGCTAAGATGCAGTTGGACCAGGGGAAGCAACTGTATAAGAGGCAAAGCTCGCCGCCGCAGTGGCTGCAGAACACGGGCAACACTGCATATGTTAGTTGCACGCTCCGCGCCAAGATGCATCCCACCGGGATGGCGCAGCCAACTTAGTATTCGATTTTGCAAACCTCTCTGCTCCATGTAGCACGCTGCGCGAATTGCCTCCATGACACAAATGCGGAATTCTGCGTTCGATGGATGAACAAACGCACAGCCTGAAACATTTTCCCGTTGGATAACTTGCGATCCTTGACGTTTGTCGACCAGCGGCAGAGAGCGCTGGCAAGCAAATTGTGGGAGTATTTGTCCTTGCTTGCAATGGCGAGATTCCTCAGCAACTGTCTCGACTGTGCATAAAGGAGCCACGCCGTGAATGCCTGCGGGACACGCATAGAATACTTGACCCACCATCCTCAGTATGAACTATGACAGCATATTTCGCAATTCAATAAAATCGGCAGGCTCAATTGGAAACCACGAAGCGTGCTGATTATCTGAATTAAGAGCATTTAATTTGCTGATGTCTTCCAGGACGAGGCAGTGCAGGCTTTATGCTCTTGCGCAGCATTCAAAGGCCTCAACATTACATTACAACGCAAATACTCTAATTCCAGTGTTTTTCAAGTCGTGCGCATCGTGTCGAATTCACCGCTTGCCAAGCTTATATCGCCAGTGCGAAAAATGGTGGCAATTGGCAAAATTGAAGAATCGGAGATTAAATATATTGAAAAGTTTTGCAAAGTTTCTCTCTTTCCCCCGATTGAACAGACACTGGCGCGTAATGACTGCCCCAAGTACGTATCACATACCCCGATGCCGGGTACAACAAACTGGTGAAACAGGCCCGGCGTCACGCCTTGGAATTCTTGAGGCATCTGCAATGTGTGAACTCAATATTTTCACATTATGAATTCAGCTCTGAGCGCCTATCACCAGTCGGATCCATTTGGGTACCCCTAATGACATGCACAGGTGCACATCACCACAGCACAAGAAAAATCAACAGATTAGGTAGCGCCGCTGCCAGAAGAAGCAGGTGTGGATGCAGCGCCGTAGATAGCGAGACACCAGGTAGGCCGTATTTCCCGAGATCCTACCGATGCAAGAACACTGCGGATCCGATGCGCCAGGGCCTGGTCAGCTTGCTTTCGCTGAAGGTCACGATAAACTGCAAGACCATGCCACCGCCAAAAGACAGCAGCGGCACTGCGGTGGCCGTGATGGTGCACAGCAACATCCAACTGCTGGCTCTTAGCTTGGCGCCTTCCGACGCAGATCTTCCATGCTGCAAACGCCTCTGTAAAACAACATAAGCCATCAAACAGAAGGGCCACGCTATGACATGGGCGTGTCACATTATTGGAACCGCGGGTGCTCACAGAGCACTGCTCAGTTCTGGTCTACACATACGGCCAGCGCCTTTTCCCAGACTTTTTATCAAGACTCCGCTCTCAGCGCGATTTTGATGGAGCCTAAATACTGTCAACAATGTCACAATCCTTCATCGTCCGACGATGAGCGGCAGTTGTCGAACGCCGTTGATCCTACTGCTCCTTCGTCAATTTTATGAGGATTCAGGTAAGTTCCTTAGATGGGATTTTCCAAAATGGCGGCGATAAAGTCCATGCCCCTTACTAGCGATGGCGGGCGCAGAAAAATGCTCCAATTCACTAAGCCCTCGTTCCGCACACCACCATGAGAAATCCATGAGGATTACAATGCGCATGGTGGAGCTGGTGTCCGCCATGCTCCCTTTCTGGTAGGCAGGTGTGGAGAGGAAGAACGGGGTACACACGAAGCAATCCGCCCAATGGGAGGCACCACTTTCTCTTGTAATGGCCTCGCCAAAGTGTGGCATGCCGCTTAGATTTCAAATCTGGTAGGTACGAGTAAACCCTATCGGGTGGCGGCACTGAAGCAAACGAGTGCAGAACGCGCAAATTTTGAACGGAAAACTGCACACAAGGACTTGCCCTGAGTCGAGAAAACCGCTGCATAATGAAACGAACGCCTCGCCGCGTTTCGAGCATGCGCAAATCTATAGCCAACGAGCACTGTGCATCGCCGTGTGTCCATAAGAGTCGCCGTTTTTGCGAAATCTGCACTTATGCTCCTTCAGCAGCAAAGCTCGCGGTACCCCGCCCACCTGAGCAGTATCGTTGTGTCCGAAAGTTCAAGGCAGAGCGCTCCGCTGCTTGCTCGTATCCATTTTCCCACCAGGTGTTAAACGCAGTCATTAGCCGCTTTTTGACGAAGTGGCCAAGTGCCCAATCCATTTGAATCGCCTCTTCTCGAAACGTATCAGCATTTGCTCTCCAACGTGCAAAGGAGCAACAAAGAACGCCCTTTTGCCAGTGAGCAACAGCTGCGCGGCCTTTCCTTCTCATCTCAACGTTCTCTTTCATGGAAACGAAAGCGGCGTACAGGTTCTGACACTGCCAGCGACGCAGGATTGTTTGGACTTGGCTTTCCAGTTCTGCCTTCATCCGCATACAATCCTAGGGAAGATTAAGCCCGAGTCAGTCTTGCACCGACACTACTGCTGGAGTCATAAGGATTCACACATTATACAGTCCCAACGCAGAGCATAGCCAGTTTGTAAAGGTGGAAAATCTGACACGGAGCCCCAGAAAGCAACAGCCCACCAATTATCTGCAAAGCATAACCAGCATAGCTGAAGGGCTGTTAGCTTTGGCCCATATATCCCCTGGTCGGGTTTGTATTGGCTGACTGCGTCGCATACCCACTGCATGTGGTTCGGATCAATGTGCATGGACAGGCATGCACACGAGATGGAGCACCAGATACACGTACGATGTCACCATAATGGCAAATGCTGCTACACCTGCAGTGAGTTTGGTCGCCAACCAAGTCAGCAAACAGTGTACGGGGACGTATGTGGCGATGCGGACACGACCTGCATTTTGCCAGCAGCAAAGCCATCGGTTTCATGCATTCGTTCCCGATGTGCTGTCGCTTGATTCTGTAGATTTGAGAATTGGTGATTCTCTCACAGTGCATGCAGATGTAGGCATCTGCACGCGTTGTGCTAGAGTCATCAACAAACCGAAAAACGGTGGTGCCTTGTTCGGAACAAACTAATCGGGCGAGAGCATGTTGCCTTGGCACGGACATAACTTGACACACGCCGCTTGTTCGCATCCACATCGCAGGTTCTCGCAATCGCAACGCCACGCGCTGGCAGGTTTGATGCATCGTGATCAATTGGCTGGCGTTACCTTCCAAGTAGCGAATGCACTGGACAAAGACACAAATCTCCACATGGATATCGCATTCTGCATCTGCTCATCTCGGTGCTTCCTCCACTCAACGAATTCCTGCCATGAACGGAAAGCCTTGGCTATCTGGGTGGCGAACCACAATCGAGCTGCCTGGCCAATCTGAAGCGCCTCCACTTGCGACTCCGCTAAGTAGCAGCACCAGGAGCCAAACGCAGCATAAAGTGTCCGCTTCGTGAAATGCATCAGGGCCTGCAAAGAGGGAGCGACAAGCCTTGGAAATTGCACCCAAAAAAACTCATATGCTGTCACCAAACCCAAAACACATGCGCACTGCCAACGCGTTCGGCAGTCACCTGTTTTATCTTCCTGTTCTTGACAATTTGCGCCTTCCACGTGAAGTAAGCCGATGACATGGCACTTTGTGTCCATTTTTTCACTGCAATTCTGATCATCGTCTCTTTCTCTTTCGCCTCGACGACATATTCTGCCCACGTTGCAAAAGCCTGCAATGCAGCAGCATTCAGAGATGATTCTCAGAATGTCTCAATGAAAAAAATTGGTATGTGATTGTGAATATGGGGACTTTTTTCGACTGCGATTCGACTGGGGACATTTTCGACTCCTTCGATCCAAGGCTGAATCTGAAGCAATATTGTACTCTGTTCGTGCTGTGTAACAGAGAGCACACTGCGAAGACATACCACATGTCGCATGTATTTGAAATACTCACTGGCATCCTCTGGGACAATGACCTATGAGGCAAAATTCCGTCCGTGCTAATTCCCCAACTGCAAAGGTCCATTTCTCACTGCCCCTTGCTGATTTCCATTTATCAACCTTGCCTTACCAGGCACATATCTGCTCAGCACTGCACATGTATC